AAATGCAAGATTGACTTGACATTCAAAATCAGTAAATGCAATTCACTATATTAACATATTAAAAAAGAAATACCACATAAGATATCACAGAATATTTAAAATCCAAATATCCACTCTCAGCAGAGATGGTCCCCATGAATTTCCTTCCACATTCCAACTTGTGGAATGGACCTAGAAAGAAGTAAAAGACCCAAATAACACTATAGTGTCTATACTAAAGGCTATTTTACTCTATGTAGTTAGGACCCTAAAAGATCAAACTAGATTCACTTTTATTTCTGAAAGGAACTCTAATAACTCAAGATAAGAGTAGAGCGTCTTCCTGCCTAATAGTTGTCACATTACAAACTCATGCTGACAGAAATATGATTACATTACTTTTGTACCTAAATGTAAGGTTCTGGGGGGAAAAAAAAAAGAGCATTAGCTCTACTATGCTATCTCCTTTGAGATTAATATCTTATCTTTGAAGGAAATACTCAAGAAAGAAACTATTTTCATCTAGTGCTTTAGTAAAGGTTAAGATATAATAATTGTTTAAGCTCCACAAATGTGCAGTTGTCTTCGTAATTTTATCAAGTGCATTTACATAGTGCCAGACACATATGAAAAAGTAGAATTTAAAACTGAAACCATTAAATGATACCCATTATTTCTCATTCTAGAAACTTCTGAAACTTATGGGTGACAGATTTATCAAGAAGTTCTCTTTACCAACTAAAGAAAGAACAAGCCAATCTCTGTTATGAACTGTCATTAGTAATTTAGCAGAGTTAGAAGGCAGTTCAGCCGAGTAGACAGAAAATTAAAACATGGGCAGCCCCTGATTGGAAATTTATTCATAGCAGGTAATGAAATAGCACAGTCAGGATCTCTGGTATTACTCAGAGTGAGAGATTTAATTCTGGTAACTCTGATGATGGCACTTGAATCAGAAATTATAAGTGGCGACAGGTTGTGACATATAGACAGGATGAAATAAGCATCAGCAACATATCTCTGTAGGAACTGATTCTACATAAGATCAACTTTTCCAAACAGAAAACGATAATTTCAAACATTATTCCAAGTTCTCAAAAATTATTCCAAGTTTTCAAAAAAGAGGCTTATTAGGATCATAGGTCAACCATGAACCCTTTTTATATCTACTTTTTAATGGAGTATAATATTAATCAACACATGAAAAATAATCTGTCTTTTAAAACATGAAATATAAATATAATTGCTGATTTTATCTGGATAAGAAACAAACTGAAAATTATAAACAAGTCGCTATACTAAGTATATAGTAATAGCAAGAGTTTGGGTTTTCCTGTGATTATATGGATAAAACATGTAGCTCAGCTGGTAAAGAATCTGCCTGCAATGCAGGAGACCCTGGTTTGATTCCTGGGTCAGGAAGACACTCTGGAAAAGGGATAGGCTACCCACTCCAATATTCTTGGGCTTCCCTCATGGCTCAGAGGGTAAAGAGAGTCCACCTACAATATAGGAGACCTAGGTTCGATCCCTGGGTTTGGAAGATCCCTGGAGAACGGAATGGCTACCCACTCCAGTATTCTGGCCTGGAGAATTCCATGGACTGTATAGTCCATGGTGTCACAAACAGTCGGAAACGACTGAGCGACTTTCCCTTCCCTACATGCATGAAAAGAATACTCATTAGGTACAGCCACATACAAACAATGTTATTTATATTTATAAAGAATAATAATTTATATTCTGGATTTCCTATGCCTTTTTATATTTTCTAATTAACAAAAATTACATTATTACTTTTATATTGATTAGTATATTTTTTTGAAAATTGCCTGTTTCAGACAAACTCTCTACCACAGAAATATAGCTGAGAAAAGCAATAATATTTTCACATAGACAGTTATTTTAATATATCTCTTTTGAATTTGTGAAATGGCATCTTTACTGTGTATGGACAAAATGTGTTAGATGTGGAAATTTGTGAAATTTAACCATAAAACTCTTTGATACGCCTAACAGTGAAATTAAAGGATGCATACCCCCAAATCTGTAACTCTTTGGACAATAACTTGCAGCAGAAATGATGCTGTGTCTGTTTCCAGATCTAGACCATAACAAGGAAAAGAGGAGAGATGTCACACTGACCTATGCCCCAACTGCAGATCTAAAAGTAAAAAAATCAACTGCCCTCATCTGGAGTCACTGCATTTTGAGCAGGTTTGTTAAGCAGCAATAAACAACCAAAAGAGCAAAGGGCTTTAATCATGAATGCTGATTATAAAAATGGTTTTCGCATTATACCAAAGCAATGTTATGTTACACATGCTATAACTAGTGAGATGGGTTTCTCTGGTGGCTCAGACAATAAAGAATCTGCCTGCAGTGCAGGGGATCAGGGTTTGAACCCCGAGTTGGGAAGATCCCCTGCAGAAGGCAATGGCAACCTACTCCAGTATCCTTGCCTGGAGAATCCCCTGGACAGAGGAGCCTGGTGGGCTACAGTCCATTGGTTTGCAAGAGTCCAACACAACTGAGTGACTAACACGTTCCAACTAGTCAGAATAGAAGGAAGAGAATGTAAAAGAAAACTATAATATATTTTCATCAGGCTAATATAAATTTTTGGTCAATAAAGATCTTAATCAATTACACCACAATATGCACTTCCCAGGTGGCACTAGTGGCAAAGAACTAGCCTGTCTACACAAGAGACATAAGAGATGTGGGTTCCATCCCTGGGTCAGCAAGATCTCCTATAGGAGAGCATGGCAACCTACTCCAATATTTTTGCCTGGAGAATCCGAAGGACAGAACAGCCTGGCGCGCCATAGTCCATAGGGTCACAGAGAGCCGAACATGACTGAAGCAACTGAGCATGCATACATTGAGAAAACAATTCAAAGATAAGGATCCTGGGATCTTTAGCATGTTATAAATTGACAAACCTAAATATTATAGAATTATTTGTGTGAATTTGGATTTAGCTTTTTAAAAATTTGGTTTTGTAGGATTTATCTATGTAGCTTAATGATGTTGTGACTAAAAGCATAAATCTACATAGAAATACTAATTCTATAAAAATTAGAGGATTTAGACATATGAAGTAAACAAAAATTTGAATTATGGAAATATATTTTGAATGAAACTATATTTACAAAAGTCCGAGCCTACATGACATAACAAAACCAAAAAAAAATCATAAGAAAAAAAAACTGCAGTCATACATTATATTTACCAAAAGTAAGCACTTGATAAAGATTAATAGTTAATTCAATGAAGAAGAAAATAAGTATTAAATTAAAGTTTAAATATGTCTTAATTTCAATACCAGAAAAGTTTTAAAGACAGTTATGTGTAATTCTTTTTCCTTAAAAAACTGGATAACTTTAAATGGACTTTGAGAGCTCAAGATATAGAAAAAATATAGTATAATACATATTTTAATAAAATAAAGTATCATAACATAGAAATCCACCTACTGAATGTATTTCTTTTTAAGATTCAGTTCCACATCAAAATTGTTTCAAAACATAAAAACTTAACAATTTAGTGTACTTCTTTCATAAGACACAGTTATACAGGATAGAGTCAACACTTATTCATCCAAATATGAACAAGAAAGCTTCATTAATTATATTTCTCATCCACATTCTACTTTTAAAAGATTTACTCAATAATGAAATTAAGTTGTATCATAGAATTAACATAGGTTCAGTCCTTTTTTTACTTATAAATCTGTAGTATAAAAAGCAATGTTCAATAAGATGACACAAATAACAAAATACCTTTACGGAGGGAATTGTATTAGTCCCAAAACTCTGCCTCCTTTTATAATGAAAAACCTGAGAACCAGAATGATTAATTTGTACCAGAGTGAAACTAGGCCTGGAACCCTGCCACCTGCTTCTGCCTCTTGTGTCTTTTCTCATATATTATGCTGCTTCATCTGACATGAGTGATTCCTATATGGCTATGAAATATAAAATAACGCCTGTTATTAAGAGTGAAGCAAAACAACTTCTTCCATGTAAAAGTCATCTAATTTATGTTTAAAAATTAGAATTTTTCACTTTATCCAAGTACTTGCTGAAGCATTTCTCTACTCTTTTGGTTTCCCATATGTGTTCTTATTTATTTGTGGTGTAACATCCAACAGAAAATTCATTAAATTCTTTCAGAAATATTATAAAAAAGTTAGTTAGTTATACATAACCTGACACCCTGCCACTTTTAATATACCTGAAAACATATTTTCACTTATGATAAAAAATGGATACAAATTGATAGTATTTTTTAGTTTAAAAAGTTTTATTACCATATTTTGGAATTTAGATTCAATCACTTAAACACCCTTCTAATTAGATGGCAAGTCAGAGATGTGTTTTAATCTTAAGAAACTGTTTCAACACTAAGCCTTAGTTTATTACCTGAAAGGTGGTCATAACAATAGTACTTACTACATATAAGTAGATCTGTTGTGCATAATATATAAAATATGTAGCTAATATATTTAAAACACCTGGCACCATACCTGACATATTACATACTAATGTTAGTTGTTCGTAGAGTTTAACTGCTATGAAAAACATGATACTATTAAGATCCTGCTGCAATCAAAAACATGGGTAATATTAAGATAGCAAAACATAAAGTATTTTTAGTAGTCTACTTAAAACAATGTGCATTTTTCAATTAAAAGGCAATTTTCTATGCTTAATTCAAAATGATAAAGTGTTCTTTAGATAATAAAAAAATTCACATTAAGTGTTTAAGTGGCAATATAACCAATATATGTTAAATAGCATGTGATTTGTAAAACTGAAAGTTAGTGCAACTTACCACTAATACATGTGCTAATCAAAACAAGGTAAATTCAATGTATGATAAACATTTCTCATAAAATTTTTTTAAAAAATTAAGAAATTAGATATCAATGAGAGAGTACACATACAGTTACTTTGGTAAAACTCCTTGAATTATTTTTTAAACAAATAAGACATTTCCATATTATATGTACATACCTGGCGTAGGCAAATAACCGACTATCCCATAGAACATGAGTCCCTCTAGGTCCATAATGAAAGTAACAGGACTCAGTCCCATCAAAGTTATTTAGTCCATCTTCTGAATTTTTTGAGGCATGGCTGTGTACCACATCTAAGAGGACTGTAATACCCATGGAATGAGCTGTATCAACCAGTTCTTTCAGCTCTTCAGGAGTTCCATAACGGCTGAAGGTAAAAGAGACAGTAAAAATAAGATCACTTCATATTTAAAGGAAACAACCAATTCTTCATTGAGAATCAATTGTTTATCAGAACAGTATTAGATACTTTAAATATGCAAATGTAGTATGATATATTACTTAGACACAGGTCAAAGTTGCTTAATCTTTGCTATCAGGCATTTTTATAAGCATTTAATAAAAAATCATCTGACTAATAACTGTAAATTTATAACACAATAAAAATTCACATTTTGAGGAGGCAGATAGTAAAATTCCCCTTCTCCATACTCAGAGCTTCTGATTTCCATTGCCAAGGCTAGTTGGTTTAAGAGGCACGGTCATTCCTGTCTACATACCTAGCCATCCCTTGTATATGCATGGCTGGGGCTGGGGGGCTCTTAGAATACTTCTTTGAGTATCCTTAGTGGCTTGATTGAGGCCATCTCTACTGCACTTACTTATTCCCAGACTGGAACACCCCAAGTACCAGTGGGCCCTGTCACCACCCAAGCAGGAAAGATGCGCAGTTCACATGTACATGGATTTGTGTTAAAAATGGTTTTCTAATCTGTGTGAAATAGGAAACAAAACTCACTACCTAGAGGAAGGCCTTTTCGAACCTTTATAAAGTCTCAATATTAGAGTCAATAATAGTATCAGGGCTTCCCTGATAGTTGGTAAAGAATCCGCCTGCAATGCAGGACACCCCAGTTCGATTCCTGGGTTGGGAAGATTCGCTGGAGAAGGCAGAGGCTACCCACTCCAGTATTCTGGCCTAGAAACTTCCATGGACTGTATAGTCCATGGGGTCACAAAGAGTCAGACACAACTGAGCAACTTTCACTTCAAATCATAGCATCAATTTTTGCCTTTTAAATAGGTAATCATACTTGTGATGAATTGATTTCTGTCTCTCTTTATCATGACCTACTGCACTATCTAATTTGGCTCCTTCCAAAAGCTTTAGGGGCTTCCAAGATGGCACTAGTGGTAAAGAACCAACCTGCCAATGGTGGAGACATAAGAGATGTGGGTTTGAACCTTGGGTCGGGAAGATCCCTTGGAGGAGGAAACGGTAACCCACTCCAGTATTCTTGTCTGGAGAATCCCATGGACAGAGTAGCCTGGTGGGCTACAGTCCATGGGGTTGCAAAGAGTTGGATACGACTGAAGTGACTTAACACATACAAAAGCTTTAGATTTATCTTATGACACTCTACCCATTACTCTTCTTATCCTAGCTACCTGGCCTCTTTTGCCACTCACTGAAAAGCATGTTCAATGAATAAACAGCCCTAAAGTTTTATTCATTCATTCATTCATTCTACAAATACTTATTAAGCAGTCTACTATGTGCCATGAATTTTGCTATGTTCTGTGATTCACTAGTGAACAAAATAAATATCACTGGCCTTATGGGATTTGTTTTCTAGTTGGGTGATAGGAAATAAATAAGCAAAATATGTGGAATATCAGATAGAAGTGACTGCTCAAATGAAAAATGAAGCCAGGCCACTAGTGGGAAGGGAAGGTTTGCTATTTTAAATAAGGTCATCAGTGAAAGCTTTAAGACTAAGGCAATATTTGGTTGAAGATAAGAAAGAAGTAGGGAGCAAGCCATGCAAATATCTAAAGGAAGAGTGTTCAGAAATAAACAGGCATTGGAGATGGAAATGAGCATCTGAAGAAGAGCAAATGCACTAGTGTGGCTGGAGTGTAATGATCAAGAAAGAGAGGACTCCAGAGACTGTCCAAGACCCAGATAACGTGAGGCCTTCTGGATCAATGTACGACATTTGGCTTTTATTTCAAAAGAGAGCTGAAAATTGTTAGAGAGTTCTGAGTGACATGAGAGTGACATGATCTGATTTTCATCTTAAATAGCTGACGTTGGGTACTTTGCAGAAAGTAGTCCATGTGTGGAGAAGAAAGCCAGGGAAGGAGGACAAGAGAATACAGAGTGACCCATTACAGAGCTAATGAAATGACTCAGGTAAGAAGTGGCAACTCGGACAGAGTGGTAGCCATGGGAACAGGAGAAGCAGAAAGATTTGGGATATATTCTGAAGTTACAGGTGGCTAGTTTTCTGATAATTAGAGTGTAGTGTAGACCATACAGGGAAAAGGCAGGTATAACGCAGTCGGCTTAAGTAACTGAAAGACAGAAATGTCATCTATTGCATTAAGGAAAATAACAAGAGAAGAAGGTTAGAAGATAAGAACAGAAATGTAGTCTGAAACAGGTTAAGTATGAAATACATACTAGATATTCCAACCTCAAATAGACACGGTATGAAGTTCACAACAGAGGTGAGGACTGGGGACTTCAACTTGGTGGTTGGCATATAAAGTGTATTTAAGCCATAAGAAAGAATGAGTCTTAATGAGACCCTAAAGATACTTCATTTAAATACAGAAGGGAATGGAACCAAGGGCTGAGCACTAGGCGGGCCCATCTTTAGTGGTAAGAAAGAACAAAGGAAATAAAGAAGAAGCAAGAAAAGACATAAGAAAAACCACAGTGAAGTTTAATATTCTGAAAGCCAAGAAAAGAAAAAAAGTTGAAAGAAGGTGTGAGTAATCAATTGTGCCAAATGCTGCTGACAGGTCAAGTAAGCTAAGAACTGATGATTGACTTAATATGTGGAGGCCATCAGTACCTTATATAAGAGCAATTTCAGCAAAGAGGTGGAGTACCTACTTGGAATGAGCTCAAGAAAGAAGAGAAGTGGAGGAATTAGGGACAATAAGGACAGATAACTCGTTCAAGGAGAAATCCTATAAAGAGAAACAAGTAAAGGGATCAGTATCTTTTCTCTATGTCTGGAATGCTATCTATGTACTCCCACTTCACCTTCCCCCCTAGATAACACTCCCTTTTTAAGATTGAAAACTGTTTATCTCTTAATCATGTTTTAAATCTCAGTTGCAACATCAGTTTAGATCTAATCTAAACTGGTCAAACCACGAGTTCTATGCTATCCGAACAATTTTCCATCTTCTTCCTAGCTTTTATTACAAGTGGAAATCATAATATATATGATTACTGGATTTCTGTCTAAGATCATGGCGTCTGGTCCCATCACTTCATGGCAAATAGATGGGGAAAAAATGGAAACAGTGACAGACTTTATTTTCTTGGGCTCCAAAATCACTGCAGACAGTGACTGCAGCCATGAAGTTAAAAGACGCTTGCTCCTTGGAAGAAAAGCTGTGATAAACCTAGATAGTATATCAAGAAGCAGAGATATCACTTTGCCCACAAGGACTATATTCAAAGCTATGGCTTTTCCAGTAGTCATGGACAGATGTGAGAGATGGACCATAAAGAAGGAAGAGTGCTGAAGAATTGATGCCTTGTGGTACTGGAGAAGACTCTTAAGAGTCCCTTGGAGAGCAAGAAGATCAAACCAGTTAATACTAAAGGAAATCAGTCCTGAATATTCATTGGAAGGACTGATGCTGAAGCTCCGATACTTCAGCCACCTGATGTGAAAAGTTGACTCATTGGAAAAGACCCTATGCTGGGAAAGATTGAAGCAGAAGGAAAAGGGGACCACAGAGGATGAGATGGCTGGGTGGCAATACTGAATCAATGGACCTGAGTTTGAGCAAACTCTGGAGATGGTGAAGGACAGGAAAGCCTGGTGTGCTATAGTCCGTGGTTAACAAAGACTCGGACACTACTTAGCAACTGAACAGCAATGACAGCTGGATTGATGTTTACAAGCCACCACACTGAAAGCTCCATGAGGCAAAGTTGGACGTGTGCAACTTGCGGTCATTCAGATCAGTACCTCTCCAACTGCACAGGACCCTCTGATGGTTTTCTGCTCAGACAGTCATATGCCTTGGATTTCAGCCTGGGAAGAAGGACATTTCTGTGGGTAGTATAAGTCCCACCAAGGGCCTTCTCAGTTACCTTCCTACATAAGTGAGCCTCTTTCCAGAAAAGGATATGAACTCTAGCAATAAAGGCTTCACTAAGTCAGTATTTTCTGACTAAAGCTTAGCCTCCAAACATGACAATTTCAGCAGGCTAACTGGATTTTCTGTACCAGAAATCATTTCATGAAAAGCAGTGTTAAATCAGGCTAGTCTCTAAGGTTTGATGAGAGAAAAATCTATGATCTTAAAAGAAAATGCTCAGATTTTATTAACTCTGTTAACCTAAAGTAGGTCATTAGACATCATATGAAATACAGAAATTCATTCCATTTTTAAATTTTTTTGTTCACATAAGAAAATGGATATCATGTCCTTCATTTTACCTTGAAGCGGCAAAAAAGCTTGTGATTTGGTAACCAAAACTGGCATAGTAAGCATGTTCCATGATTGCCATCAACTGAATGCAATTATATCCTGTATAAGCAAAGGTCAAATAGAGATTAAAAGCCACATATAAAAAAAGTAATAAAAAAAATACATAAACACAGCCCCCTGTTTAAAAAGCATTAGGTTTCACACATAATCTAAGGTCTGGTCATTTTAAAAAGTTCTACTACTTTAACATCTTTTTCTTGTCTGACCTTCTAACACGAAATTGGACAGTTAGTTCTTGAGGGTTATAGTCTAGCTATTTGAAATGTCTTCATTTTAACAAGTAATAAATGATATGCAAATATACTCTTAATTTGGATTTAGAATATTAAAGATGACAATCTGCATATGCTAAATTTCAGTTGCACTTGTAATATTCATTTCGAAGATTATGAAAGCCAAATAAAAGTAACTGATTGCATGCCATATACATTATTTCATCTTTTTCTTTATATTTCTCTTATTTCTAGCCTAAGATATACCATCAAATCAATTTTTCTAAAAGGTGGCTTGTATGAAGCCAGCATTAATGCTTCCATTTTCCACTTCCATTTCCATTTTTAGGTGTTTCTAGCACCTAAAAAATTACTCCACAGTCATCCATGTGTAAACCTGTGTGCACACACACACAAGTACACACACATACATCTTTCCTTGCTCTATCTGAAAATGTTTTGCTTTAACTCTAAATGAACTGACTCAAAAAGATAGGTATGTCTTCTTAAAAGTTCATAATACTTAAAAATACTTATTAATGTGTTTTTAATGTAAGCAAATAATCAGACTAGAATAAATTTGGTCTTTTTAAAAAACTAAAAAAATCTTTTTCTTCAAAGAAAAATTTGGTAAAATTTTCAAATATGATTTGACTGTCTTCTGCACTGTACATAGAAAATATTCCTATTCTGTTCTCAAAATCTAATTCATGTTAGTATAACTTCTTGTGCACATATTTTAGTACATAATTAACACTGGAACAATTATAAATTCACATTCAGAAGTAGGGATTCACAAGTTTAAAGGACAACATAAACTCCATGATTCAGAATCTGTTGAGACGTTATTACCTTTGGCTTTGCTGTTAAAAAAGAAACAAATTAGTTCTCTCAGTTTAAATATGTGTGTAAACTATTTCTAAACATATGTCAAGTATAATACTTAATAAAAAATATAGAGTTTGTTGTTTATTTCTCCATTATGTAATAAGTATTAATCTTATGAGCAAATATCAACTTATATATTTTATTATTCATTTTATGTCATTAACCATTCCTAAACTTATTTAACAAACTCCAGGAGATGGTGAAGGGCAGGGAAGTCTGGCATGCTGTAGTCCATAGGGTCGTAAAGAATTGGACATGACTTAGTGACCGAACAACAACAAAATTATTTATGGTGAGAATACTGGACTACGAAATTCAAACACAAAGAAAAAGAAAATGCCTGTTCTGCTGAAAGTTCTGTAAGATATAGGTCATAAACAATTTATTACAGTATGAGATGAGAGAACATCTCAAATATAGCAACCTTAATATAATATCTATTAAATACAATTCACATTAACTTCTCCATACATTTAATTAATTATGGTTTCTGGAACCTGACCTCACCATCTCAGGTAATCAAAATACCTATATAAATGAAAACTTCATCATGAGAGACTTTCCTCTAGCCAAAATGTGGACTGCCTATTAGAAACAGACTAATTAAATGTAGTTTATCTTTCTGCCTAGCTACCGGAACAGGTGCTAATATGCTGTGAAACGATGAGAAAAAAACTTATAAAAAGATAACAGACTTAGAGCATTCCCAATCAATAATCCAACACTCTACTATTCACTCTCTTGTTTGTTCCCATGAAGACAGGGCCTGTCATTAGAGTACAATATACAAACATCTAGAACAATGTGTCTCACACAGAAAGATGCACCATAAATATCTGTCAAATAAGTCATCCTAACAGAAGCTATATCTACAGTGACTCTGAAACAAAATGAGTTCCAGTTACTTACAAATGTAAGATCTTTTTCCCTAACGGACTAAACCGAACAGGCTATAATCAATGACCACTTAAATTGATACAAATTCTCTCCTGCAGAAAAGTAATTATGCTTATGTATTTATCTACAATTTTGGAAGCCATCAATTCACATACTTAAAATTGAAATTGGAATAATATCTTGAATTCTTATGTTCTATCTTTATTCCATTTCTCTTTTCTATGCTATCACTATTACAAGGCAATTTGAGAAGCCTAAAATAAAATGCATTTCTATTACATATTTAATCTCTTAACACAAAAAAAAGACACTTGCAATTAGCTTTTCTAATAAGAGAACAGACTCATTAAAATTTTATCTGAATAAAAATCACAGTTATTACTTACCAAGGTCTTTGATTCTTGGTAGTACATTGCATGTAAAATGTTTATAAGAAGCTATTTTTCCTTCATAGGAAGAAATTCCCACGTGAGATTCATAAATTCGTAGACCTTTTGGCTTCTTTGGTTTGGAATGTTTAAACTACAGAATATTAAAATTACATATAGAATTAGACCAAAAATGCAGATATGACACTAACCAATTAAGCATGCTAAATGAAATGATGAATTAACTCAAACACTTTGAAACTACTTTCACATATGAAAGGCACTGTCTACCTCCATTAAAATTTCTTTTGGGAAAAAAAATCCTTTTTAGGATCATGGTAATAGACCTATTTCAAAACAGAAGTCATGCAATGACTTATGGCTTCTCACTGACTGAAGATGTATTTTGAGCCTAAGCCTTAGAGAAAACATAAGAACTGTGAAATGAATATACAATTATTAAATGCAAAGTGTTTATCAACAAGCTTCAATAACTTAAAGGACAGAAAATTGAGCTCAAAGATACTTATAACTCTTGTCAGTAAAATCCTTAAAAAATTACTCCAATTAATGTGAAACAGATAGCCAGCCCAGGTGTGATGGATGATACAGTGCACTCAGGGCTGGTGCATTGGGATGACCTTGGGGGATGGGGTGAGGAGGGAGGTGGGAGGGGGGTTCAGGATGGGAACACATGTACACCCATGGCTGATTCATGTCAATGTATAGCAAAAACCATTCAATATTGTAATGTAATTAGCCTCCAATTAAAATAAATTAACTAAAAAAATTACTCCAATTAATACATTCTGAAAAAACATACATTCACGAGACATCTTCATTGTTCCTAAGGACCCTGATTCTGCTTCAGACCCAAATAGTGAGAAATATTACACCACTGGAGTCTTCGATTAGTTGAAATTTTATTTTAAATGTTTAAAAATCATTTTAAAAATGTTTAAATCCTTATCGGGTAGTACACATAGATTTACTGTTCTGCCCTACCCCTATTTCAGGAACATACCCTCAAATAAAAACTCACTTTTACATTTTATTGGCTATAGATGATGGGCTCTGATATATGTATAGCAAACAGGTGCACTATGATGTAAAATATTAAATCGGTGGTGAAGAGAGAACTTAAACATGACTATAAAAGTTATAAAAGTAAAAATTAATTTTCCTAGGAATATTGGGCAAGCATTATTTAAAGACGTGTTGTTCTCACTTTATACGAGTATTCTGGATCCCAGTGTATCCAATCATAGTTCACATTACTGCCTTCACGAGTCACATACTTTGCCCACGGTGAAATACGGTATAAGATTTCTCCACTTTTACTCCTGATAACAAGCTAAAAAGAGAACAAGATGTTATTGCCTTAAAATACTTCCAAAATCTAAGCTAATGCATGATAGTCTATGAGCACTGTGACAAGGAAGGAAAGGAGGAATGAGCTTAAGAATCTACACTGCCATCCAGATGTGTGACTTTAAGGATGTTTAAATTCTATGAACCTTGCTCTCCTCATCTGCCATGGTATATGATCCTTAAAGTCATTTCCAGTTTGAATATTTTATGATTCTCTGGCAATTTCCATCATTGCCAACCAACCATTATAGTAGTTAATTACAGTAAGCATAGAGTAGATAGTAAAAAGACATGAATATTATTGCAAGCTACTGTCAATAAATCAATCAACAGAAGGAACAAATCTTACTATATTAAAAAAAAAAGGTGATGAGTTATATCACCATCTCTTCCTTTTTCTTTTCATAGCAATTAATGATAACGTTTTCAAGAGGCTAAAGGAGAAAAATGGGTTTTGATTAATAACTGCATTATATAGACAAACACTACCTTTCAAATATTTTTCACTTTTTACTTCTTATACACCTTATTCCAAGTATGCTTTACCATATGAAACCAAACATTTTCCTTTTTAACCATTTATTTCTATATTTGCCAACAGTATCACTAATGCTGTCAGTACAAAAAATAACAATAAAAATGCAAAGGCAATTTTTACAGAATCCACCAGTTTAGACTTAATACTGAATATACGACTTTGAATTTATCAGCATGGTTAGAGAACAAAGTGAGCTACATGAACAGAGTTTCCAAGTGACTATAGTTTTTTTTAAGTTTTTTTTTTTTTAATTAATTAAGCCTTCTAAAAGCAGGCAGCATGTAACAAAAAATGTTCAGATCAGGAACTGATCTAAATGCTGAGAGATCAGTACACTCTAAGCATTGAGAAAGAACATATTCCTCAGTCTCCTTTAATTGAGAAAAGCTCAAGTATGCATAATTCTTGGTAATTAAATATTTGTAGAATGCTCTATAGCTTAGAAAGGACTTTCACAGTCATATCTCACGTGATTCCAGGGAATCATTATAACCCAAATATTAAGTGAGATTAAATGAGCAGCCAGAGTCCCAAAGTTACCAAGTGGTAGAACCAAAAGCTGAGCAGAGCTTCTGACACTCACTTCCTTTTGCTTAACAGGCTGTCATGGCACTTCCCTTAGACACCAAAAAAGAATAAATCATGATTTAAGATGAAGGGGACAGGTGAGTGGTAAAAAGAAACGTCTAACTTAGATGAGCTCAATTTTATCTCTTTAGTTATGCCTCCCACTTATTAAAGCCTATCACAGCTAAGTACTGCTATTATTCCAATAGTTATCACAAAAACATAAATGAATAAGATTAACAGTGTACAGGAGTATTTTATTTCCCAAAATAAGTTCCTTAAGTCACATACATTTCTAGTATAATACACACAGTGTTATATGTAAGAAAAGGCTTTTTTGCTCACTCTTCAACCCAGGACAGGCTATGGGGAAATAAAATACCAGAAATCAGTGTTTCATGAATAACACCCTGCCTAATCCATCCACCTAACTTTTCTCTTTTTTGCAAATGACTACAATCCCCTCAAAGGATGATCATGAATCAATTATAATTTTTCAAGGTGTCTGCTGGCAGAGAGAATATTTAAAACTTCAAGCAAAGAACACATAGAATTTCCTTATGCTGAATATAATTTCCACATTCTTTGGAAAATTACTTATCTTACAGTACACATGAATGTCTTTGGAGGCTACTGAGTAATAGAAGCTGGAAGGAAGATTCCTTCTATGTGTCTTCCTCACTCCTACATATTTTGCTAGATATGCTCACAATATAAGGTCCTATTGATTACAGAGGCCATTTCTCAGAATTGTGTTTGTGGCAAGCAACCCTGAGGAATGAGATAATGTTTTCTGTGAAGACAATGGACAGGCTTCCTTAAGGCTTCTATAACAGAAGGTAAATACTCCTCAGCTATGAGGCAAACTAACTGTGTGCATAGCATCAATCTACACCACACAACATTATCCCCATAAGACTTGGGAAGCAAGGGGAACTACTACGAACAAGGGGAACTACTGCAAGTCTCTGATTCAGGAGTTCCGTGTTTTCTACCAGAATCCATGAAACAGTAACAGGTTAACTTATCAGCTTGAAGGTACAACAAAATAAAATCCTACACCTGACAATGGATTATTTACTCATTCCTGAATGACTAATATTTTTGTTACCAAAAATTCCAGTTCTTCATTTCTATCAGTGTTTTATATTGGACATTCCTATTCATCAATTTTTATAATGTTGAAGGCTAACGTGGAAACTTTTAATTATCCAATTCTTTCTTTTTTTTTTTTTTTTTTTTTTAGCAATAAAAGTAGAGCCTGGATCTCTGAATGATATGTAAAACAAAGCTTCCCACCAAATCTGGAACATTTCACTATAATCATTACAGAGAACGGAAATAAATTTCTTGATTCTTCAGGCTCCTGAATTGAAAGGATTTTTGCTATAGAAGTTTAGGTTTTCCGAAGAAATATACTTGCTGACAGTAGCCACCGCCCTTCGCCTTTGATTTGTTGTTTCTAAACCATGTTGTAATAACCAAGAGCATTATGAGAGTGAAAGTGAAAGTCGCTCAGTCGTGTCCGGCTCTTTGCAACCCCATGGACTGTACAGTCCATTGAATTCTCCAGGTCAGAATAGTGGAGTGGGTAGCATTTCTCTTCTCCAGGGGCTCTTCCCAACCCAGGTTTGACCCAGGGATCGAACCGGGGTCTCCCACATTGCAGGCGGATTCTTCACCAGCTGAGCCACAAGGGAAGCCCAGGAGTCTTATAGTAAATCTAAATAACTCAAACTTGAGAGACAATCCAATGGGTAAAAAATACGGCTTTTCTGGACTAAACTCTGCTCCCAAAATCTTTTCGGAGGGAGAAAGAGGAGAGATGAGTATACTTCCTGAATTTGTGCTTGCTTGAGTTCAGATTCAGATAAAAGATTTTTTAGATGAAATAAGACTTTATATCATTAATTCACAACCTCAAAATAGCACATGTATATGGCAAATTGAAAAGAAAGAGCTAGCTTGACTGAGTTTTCAACAACAAAGTCTAACAGCTGATGGGCAGAAGCGTTTTCTCAGTACTAGCAAACTGAAAATCTTATTCACTACTAATATGAGTATAAAATACCATGAATATTCTAAACAGCAATTTGACAATAAGAATCTAAAAAAGTAATTCTCAATGACTCAGCAGTTCTAATTATAGAAGTTTGTCCTGTGGAAATAATCAGAGAAGTGCCAAAAGAACTATATTGTTATCTATTAATCTTAATATTATATTTATTAGCAAAAAGAAAATGTTTGAATAGTGTATGCTTGTTAAAAATTATACAGTGAATTATATTGAAGGTTACAAGAAAATTCTTTCAATTTATACAAAAGAATGCATGAAAAGTGAAAAATGAAGTCGCTCAGTCGGGTCCAACTCTGTGCGACCCCATGGACTGTAGCCTATCAGGCTCCTCTGTCCTTCGGATTTTCCAGGCAAGAGTACTGGAGTGGGTTGCCATTTCCTTCTCCAGGGGATCTTCTCGACCCAGGGATCGAACCCAGGTCTCCCACATTGTAGGCAGATGCTTGTACTGTCTGAGCCACCAGGAAGTATCTTCGTAATGTGAATACATACAAACTCAGAGGCTAAAAACTATTTAAGAAACAGAAAAAATACTGAGATGGTTGCCTATGGACAGATAAATTAATAATAGCTTTTATCTTCCAGTTGTATCTTTCTATATTGCCATCAATTTATTTCCTTATAGAGCTTCTATAATCATTAGAAGAAAAGTATTTTGATAAGGATTGCCAATAGATTAATTATATAATTGGGTACACATTTGTGGACTTCTGCTGAAGGTGCACATATGTGTGTGTATAAATGTTAAAAACAAAACTTTAAAAATTATATTAATATCACCACATATCACTCCAAAAAAAATCCAATCACTTTAAAAGAATATACTAAAGAAAATAATATGATGAATTTTGTAGGGAAAATTGATAACATATAATGTTTTTTAACTTAGTAAACATGACATTAGACTCCTTTTTCAATGAGTCAAATTATTTCATTGACTTATGGGAAGTTAACATCAAAAAACATTATGAAATTAAGGAGTGAATAAAATGAACTTCTACCTGAGAAAAACTCAGATTGACTTAATGAACTATATGAAGTCAAGTTTTATTTACAAACTGACATTTGAAACTTGAATATAAAATATAAGAAACAGTTTGATAAAATAGGGAAGAAGTAAAAAAAATTATGTCTATGTATATATTCATTCAATTCAGGAATATCTTTTGAAATGCTTCTTGTCAAAGGATATTGTTCCTTTCAACTGGAAAATTAGTGAGATAAGATGCTTCTCAGGTGGCCAACAATTTTATATGAAAACAGAGGATGTGTTCAACCGTTTAGAAGTGTTAGTATATTCTGTAAGCTGGTATTGCATGTAACTCTCAGTTTCATGACTGAATGTAGCAAATCAAGAGAAAAGGCACAGATATTGAGACATATAATTCAATTTGCCTAGGTTATATTGGTAAAATCACAACCACATTCTATGAAGAAAATCTTTTCTTTAAAAAAAAAGCAGGTGAAAAGGAAGAAATTAATAAAGATAACTTTAATAGAGTGCTGGTCAAAGTTAAAAGAAGCAAAGTAACTTCTATTGATGAAGCAACGACCTCTTTTAAATAACCTCTTATTATAAAATATCTAAAATAATTGATATTATATGTAATATATAAATATATAAGCATATAATATATAAAATACATAATTGATAATATATACATATTTCCAAAGAAATAGGTACAATCATAACAACATGCAATGCTAAATATCAGTATTATATTGCATGTTTTTAAAATATGAAAAAAAATATATATGTATATAGAGAGAAAGATAAATATATACAGGAAGAACATATAAT